AATGAGAGCCCCACCGAAGCCCCCAGTGGCACCGCCCGCATGCGTCCCCCACACCCAACTTGGCATTGTCACGCACCCAGCACAACGTTTCGTGGCCTCATAGGGAGCTCCATTGAAGCCCCCAGTGGGACCGCCCGCACGCGTCCTCCACACCGAACTTTGCAGGTTCACCCACCCAGCACAAAGTTTCGTGGCCCCATAGGGAGCTCCACTGAAGCCCCCAGTGGGACCGCCCGCACGCGTCCTCCACCCAACTTTGAAGGTTCACCCACCCAATAGAACGTTTCGTGGCCCCATAGGGGACTCCACCGAAGCCCCCAGTGGGACCGCCCGCATGCGTCCCCCATGCCCAATTTGGCAGTTTCACCAACCCACTACAACGCTTCCTGGCCCCATAGGGAGCCCCACCGAAGCCCCCAGCGGTACCGCCCACATGCGTCCCCAACATCGAATTTGGCATTTTCACCCGCCCAGTACAACGCTTCGTGGCCCCATAGGGAGCCCCACCCAAGCCCCCAGTGGGACCGCCCGCATGCGCCCCCCACACCCAACTTGGCAGTTTCACCCAGCCAGTACAGCGTTTCGTGGCCCCATAGGGGGCCCCACTGAAGCCCCCAGTGGGACCGCCCGCATGCGCCCCCCACACCCAATGTTGCAGGTTCATCCACCCAGTACAGCGCCTCGTGGCCACATGGGGAGCTCCACGGCCCCATAAGGGACTCCACCGAAGCTCCCAGTGGGACCGCCCGCATGCGTCCCACAACCTACCTTGGTATTTCCACCCACCCAGTGCAGCGTTTCGTGACCCCACAGGGAGCTCCACCGAAGCCCCCAGTGAGACCGCCCGCATGCGTTCCCCACACCCAACTTGACATGTTCACCCGCTCAGTACAGCGCTTCGTGGCCGAATAGAGAGCCCCACCGAAACCCCCAATGGGACCGCCCGCATGCGTCCCCCACACCCAACTTGGCATTGCAACCCACCCAGCACAGCGCTTCGTGGCCCCACAGGAAGCTCCACCGAAGCCCCCGGTGGGACCGCCCGCATGCGCCCCCCACGCCCACTTTGGCAGTTTCACCCACCCAGTACAGCGTTTCGTGGCCCCATAGGGAGCTCCACCGAAGCCCCCAGTGAGACCGCCCGCATGCGTCCCCCGCACCCAACTTGGCATTGTCACCCACCCAGTACAGCGCTTCGTGTCCTCATAGGGAGCCCCACCGAAGCCCCCTGCGGTGCCGCCCACATGCGTCCCCCACATCCAATTTGGAATTTTTCACCCACCCAGTACAACGTTTCGTGGACCCATGGGGAGCCCCACCGAAGCCCCCAGTGGGACCGCCCGCATGCGTCCCCCATACCCAACTTGGCATTGTCACCCACCCAGTACAGCGCTTCGTGGCCCCATAGGGAACCCCACCGAAGCCCCCAGTGGGACCGTCCGCATGCGTCCCCCACACCCGATTTGGCACTGTCACCCACCCAGTGCAGCGCTCCGTGGCCCCATAGGGAGCTCCACCGAAGCCCCCAATGGGACCGCCCGCATTCGTCCACCATGCCCAATTTGGCATGTTCACCTGCCCAGTACAGCGCGTCGTGGCCCCATAGGGAGCCCCCACCGACGCCCCCAGTGGGACCGCCCGCATGCGCCCCCCACGCCCAACTTGGCATTGTCACACACCCAGTACAGCGCTTCGTGGCCCCATAGGGAGCCCTACCGAAGCCTCCAGTGGGGCCGCCCGCATGCGTCCCCCATACCCAATTTCTCATTTTCACCCACCCAGTATAACGCTTCGCGGCCCCATGGGGAGCTCCACCGAAGCCCCCAATGGGACCGCCCGCATGCGTCCCACACGCCGAATTTGGTATTTTCAGTCACCCAGTGCAGCGTTTCGTGGCCTCATAGGGAGCTTCACCGACGGCCCCAGTGCTACCGCCCGCATGCGTCCCCCCCCGCCCAGCGCAGCGCTTCGTGGCCCCATAGGGAGCTTCACCGAGGAAGATATTCACAATTCCGGTACCCACAACTTCATATGGTTGGGTCCTTCGCCAAGGTATGTTTTTCTTGTTGTGTTTCTCTCTCTCTCTATTTATCTGTTTCTCGCTCGCTTCCCCTCCTTGTCACTATCTCTCTCTCTCTCTCTTTCCCTCTCCCTCACATCCTCTCTTTCGCTCTCTCTCTCTCTCTCGCCCACGCGCCGCCTAGCAAGCGTCCACTGTTGCCTCCCGCCACTGCGGGTCCTGAAAGGTTACCGGACGGATGCCGCCTCTGCATGCTGAGGTAATTACTGTCATGCCAAAGACGGGTGCAGGTTCGCTTAACCTTACAGGTGAAACTCGGACGGCTGCGAGGCACTGACACAATACACCACTTGCTCGCTGGGGGGGGGGCCCCCCTCGCCCCTCCCTCCCGTCCTCCCCAGGCCGACCGCCCAAAACGGGTGCACTGGGCCCTTGAACCGACACCACCGGCCAGAGTGCAGCGGGTGCGGCGCGCTTGCCCGCCAGCCCGTGGACGGGACTCCGCCCAGATCGTCCGATCTCTCTCACTCTCTCTGGTGTGCACACATACATGTATAACATCGGGCACCGTCAGCAGGCACTGAATGGGGTGTCCGTGGGCCGTGGGCCCCTTCGACTCCTCAAGGTAGAATCTTGTCCACACTCAAGGGGTCCCCAAACTCAGGGTTCCTAGACTATCTGGGCGCTTCTGGCGTTCGTCGCATGCTGGCTCCCGAGGCGGGCTGGCGCCGAGCTCGGAATCCTAGTTGCACTTGCACCGTGTCCTAAGAGGGCACCAGATGCGGAACATCACAATCAGACGCACGTCCTGGAACGACTCAAACAGGAAGACGGCCCGAGAGGCCGCCGAGATCGTTCCAAGATGGCCCCCAAGGCCCCCAAGAGGGGCCCCGCAGGGAAACTCGAAAGGCCCCGAAGAAATCTCCGGCCCAAAGGGTGCCCCCGAGACCGCCGGAAACTCCCGAAAACGGAAAACCCCACTTACTTATGATATGTCTAGCGTGATGATAGCTGAAGTGAAACATGCAAAAATCATGGTGGTGGCCGTTGTCCCGCCGGTACCGCTGGTGACGCCTGTCAAACCTTGGGGTCCTGCCGCGCCTGCCGTGCCCTGCGAGCCTGGAGGATATAGAGACCGCGTTCAAGGGCCACCCCCTGCGCACCCCTCTGGAGTCAAGAAAAAGCAACGCCTGCCGTGCCCCGCGAGCCTGGAGAGTATAGACCGCGCTCAGGGACCACCCCTTGAGCACCCCCTCTGGTGTCGAGAATGGGTCAGGTCTGCAATGCCCTGCGAGCCTGGAGCGTATACAGACCACGTGCAGAAACCACCCCTTTCGGGGGGAACGAAAGGGGGGGATAGCAAAGAGTAGGGTAGAGAATCAGCTCACGTAGCTGATTTTCCCAGCGCCACCTGGCGCCTGGAGGCGCCCATGTATCGAGGAATGGGCCCGGCGGCGGGGCCAAAACCAGCTGCATGCAGCAGATTTCGTAACACTCCCTTTCCCTATCCCTCTTTTCGTTCGGCACGACCCTTGCGCACCCCTTCTAGAAGGGAGAAAATGCCACGCCTGCCGTGCCCTGCCAGCCTGGAGCGTATAAAAACCGCGCTGAGGGACCAGCCCCTGCGCACCCCCTCTGGTGTCGAGAGTATGCCATGCCTGCCGTGCCCTGCGAGCCTGGAGCGTATAGAGACCGCGCTCAGGGACCAACCTCTGCGCACCCCCTCTAAACTCGAGACCGTGCCACGCCTGCCATGCACTGGGAGCTGGGAGCGCATAGAGACCGCGCTCAGGAACCACCCCTTGCGCACCCCCTCTGGAGTGGAGAAAAAGCAACGCCTGCCGTGCCCTGCGAGCCTGGAGCGTATAGAGACCGCGCTCAAGGACCAGCCCCTGCGCACCGCCTCTAGAATCGAGAAAGTGCCACGCCTGCCGTGCCCCGCGAGCCTGGAGCGTATATATCGAGACCGCGCTGAGGGACCACCCCCTGCGCACGCCGAGTGCAGGTGAAAGTCCTGACCAACGGGGAGGCCTGACTGGGCTGCCTCCCCGATGGCCCCAAAAACTGTCCTGGCAAGCTGCCTTGATAAATGGCAACTTGAGCCAAAATGGCGACGGTGTCCTCCTCACCCTCGCTCTCCACGTTCTCCTACTCATCATACTCCTCATTCCTTACTTCATGGTGTACCTCGGCGTCATTATTTTACTGCCGCTGTTCGTGGAGGTGTGCAGGGGTGGGGACTGAAGGGGTGGAGCCGATACTTTTTACGAGTTCCTCCTCTTTGGAGGCGGCTGGGGGGTCTGAGCTGGATGCGCCGAAAGAAAACAAGTAAAGACGGAGGGATGAAAACATGGTCGCACAAGATTAGCCCCCCGACCCCATCCCAGGGTCGAAACGGACAAGTCTTTCGAGCCGCGCTCAGCCTCGGCAGCGGGGGGCGTTCTTTCTCCTCCTATGTGTACAGGACGGAACCAATGTTGGGCCACATCACCCTGCCAACCAATTCCAACATCCTCGCTTTCTCGCTTTGGACGCCCGGAAAGGGTACGAAAAAATTGCAGAACGTTCAACAACAGATGTCGTCAAAAACCGGCAGCGACCACTGTTGGGCAAGCGGTTTTGCGTCTTCAGAGGATCGTTTCCGCGGCGGCGCGAACAACGAGTCCGGTTCAAAATGAACAAGAACTGCTGCCGACTCTCGGTTTCTGCTCTGCCCCCCCTCCCGCGAGAGCGGCGTCAAAATGTAGGCCCACGCAAGGGGGGGGGCTCAAATGTAGACCCCGACCAAACGGACCCTGAAATGTCCACCCTCGTTAAGCCTAAGCGCCCTTTAAATGCATACCCCGACCTGAAATGCATTGATATGTAAACTGCGCGCGAGGGGCGGGGGTCTACCTTGGGGGTGCGTCGGGCAGGTTTACATTGCAACGGTCGCATGTTTTGTCTTGATTTTCTCGGCGTGAGGCGTGCCCCCCTCCGCCTTTCTCGCACTTGCACAGGAGCTCTATCTCCTGACCTGGGGTCCGCGCCGCCGCGGGCACGGCGCGGGGCCGTCGCGGCGCGGCGGGGAGGCGGGGGGGGAACCAGGGAGGGGGGGAGGGAGGCCCGAGGATCCAGGGGGGTCGATGATCGAGGATCGAGGATCGAGGGTGATCCAGGTTCGAGGGAGGAGAATCGAGGATCGAGCTTCGAGGATCCAGCTTCGTTGGAGGATCGAGGATCCAGGAGGAGGGAAGAAGGGGGAGGGGTGGGAAAAGAGGCGGGAGGAGGGAGGAGCGAGGCGGGGGGAGGGAGGAGGGGGGAGGGAGGAGGAGGGAGGAGGAAGGAGGGAAAAGGGAGGAAGGAGGAGGGGGGGAGGAGAAGGAGGAGGAGAAGGAGGAGTACACAGCCCAGGGGGACGACCGACGACGGCGGACGACGGTCAGCTCCCGGTGGCGGCAAGCTGGGCGGCGGGGGCCCGCCTTCGGACATGTGCAAGTCGGGCGCGAGCAAAGTTCCGCAACCGCGCCCGCTCTCTCGGCGGGGCGACACGCGGCCCATGGTTTAATTCGCGATGCGAAGTGTAGCAAACATCATGGTACATGGCGAGAGAGACGAGGGCAGCAGACGAGAGGGGAATAACAAGGAACAAAGACGCGCGAGCCGAGGCAGAGGAAAGAGCAAACGAAGGGGGGAGCGAGGGGAGCAGGGAAGAGACAACAGAAGAGCAAGGCCAGACAAGGAAATTGATCATACTGTCGCCGCCCTCCTCGCGACAACATCTGCAGGACTCGGTTGGCCCGCGAAATCGACCTGTCGCGCACCGCGCATTGCAAATAGTTTTGAACGCGCAAGAGAACGCCCGGGAGGCCGTAAGCTTTCCAAGACGATTCAAAGCTACATACATCAGGTCAAGTTGGCGCGAGGAGGGGGCGGTGCCGAATTTGGAAAGGCACCTGGAGAGGGACTGGCGGAACGAGAAGGGGGCGAGCTCACGAGGGGCAGCTTCAGTATAGGCCTGGAATCTGGAGGTCCCGAACGACGGGATAGTCGGGATGGCGACGAGCATGTTGTCATTCTCGATTGTCTGATGGATCGAATAGCACTTCCACGCGCGGTTGTTCCTCCACGCCAGGAGTCTGCCATCATCAAACTCCGTGGGCTCGAACAACGTTTGGCTGGACAGCTGGCGACATGGTGGCGGCGCGGAACATGGCCGCCCGTCCTGCAGGAATAATGGCCTTGACGTGAACAGGAAACCGCCATTCTTTGAGGTTATCCAATATCCCTTGGGCGGGGCGGTTATTGGGCGCATTCGCGATCGCCCGATGGGCCATCCGTGAAATCCGCATCGCCAGAGGAGTCGGGGGATGAAACTGCACGATGCGTGATAGAACCGAGAAGGCCACAAGGTTGAATACCACGATGGCTTTACAGACCCAAACCCAATCCCTTGATCTCGAACGCCCGAGACAGACACGTTGCAGCGGGGGCTTGCCCACTAAGATCCTGCCCGTGGAGCCCGCGCGCAACCCCGAGATGCGCGCCGGCAAACATAGAGACTAGATTCTCAGCAATGCCATATCTCCGCGCGAGTGCCCTGCACTCATCGCGAGAAATTATTGAGCGGCACGAGCACGGATTTCACGACACGCGCGCGCGGGCCGGCGGCGCGCCGGCAGGCGCAAGGAGAAGAGCCGAGCAAGATCTCGAAGACGTCGCGAGAGGCCGCGCCGACGTCGGCAGCAAACGCGACCGGCTCACTTAAAATGCGGTGGGGTCCGCGTCAACATGCATCTCAATATAGGGTCCATTGCCAAACAAAAGATCGCACCAGACAGCGGGCGCCCCTGTTTTACCCCTCTGGAAGAAGAAGGGGGGGCCGATCGGAGACCGCAAATAATTATAGAGACCTTGACGTCAGAGTGCAACTTGCGCGCGGCGAGGACGGTATTCGGCGGGGCCTCCATGGCGGACAGGACCCAGACAATGGCACAGCGCAGGAGGCTCGGGAACGCAGCCTTAACATCGCAATATATCGTGCCAGCGCGTTTGTGCCCGCATTGAGAAAACCAAGACGCGGCCCAACTCTCCAAGTTAATAGTATTCTCGTTCATGTAACGGCCAGCAATGAATCCCCGTTGGTTTCCTAGCGCCGTCTTGGGCAGCGACGGCGGAGAGAGAACGGTTGATGGCGAGGGAAATGAGCTTGTTATCGGAGCTACTGAGCGTGATGGGCCGGGTCGTCTCGGATTTTCTCAGGACGGAGAGGGAGGTGTCATTCGGGTCGCTGCCCTTGGCGAGGAAAACTGCCACGCCGCGGATAGAAACGACGGGGGAGATGCCCTCGTCGACGAGGTCGCTGTAAATGCCGTAAACCGCATAGGACGACTGCTGGCCCTCCGCGGGGGCACCAACTGCAGAGGGCGCCGTCGGGGCCAGGGGCCGAATCAGAGGCCGCCGAGATCAGATCGCAAAGCTCTAGGGGCTCCATTTTCCAGAAAATCCCAGGAGGGCAAGGCTGAGCAAAATCTTGAAGCAGACGACGATCGGTCTCAGAGCTCGGCGCGAAACCGTGGACCTTGCCCCAATGGTCAGCAGGCTTCTCGGCGACTAAATCTGGATCGGTGATGGGCTGGACAGTCGGATCCGAAATGCCCGAGAGCGAGATCTTGCGGCGCTTCCTTCCCCGAGCGGGCTGGCATTCGCAATGCTGCATTTGCACGTTGGCTTTCTTTGCGTTAGAGATGGGCTGTTGCTCGATATCGTTAATACGTTGCTGGATGTGCTCACTTTTGATCTCGCTTAGGCGTGGGCGAAGGCGCGCGCGTCGATCCGCGTCGCTGACCCGGGGTCGAAACACTTGGACAGGATTGGGCACGCACGAATCGCCTTGTGCACCAGCCAAAGCTGCCCGCGTAGAGTACCACGCAGAGCAGTGAGACACCAGGCAATCTTCTCAGCAAGAGACTTGCCCGCCTGCATGGCGCTAAAGTAAAGAGCCCCCTTGGCCGCAAGAATGGTGATATCCTCGAGCTGCGCGCGCCGCTCAAGCGGGTCGGGGCCCAGCGGGCCAACTGCCTGCAAGGGGGCATCGACTGCGACGGGAAAAACAAAACGACGGGCCACCCAACTCGGCACTCTGAACCCAACCTTGGCCCCGGGCGTGAGAGTAAGGCAAACTGGTGCATGGTCCGATAGACGGCCGACTTTGACCATGGGCTCGAGGGCAAGGGATTTGGGGTGGTACTCGATGAGAACAGAACTGAACAGGCTGGTACACATACGACCGATACGACTGGAGCTGACTACCACCTGGACACAGTTTTCTTCGCGACCCGATGAGTGAACGATGGCTGGTCAACCTCGCAGAGGTCTCCAAACGTGTGCGAGAAAAAACGATGCGTCGTTCGACGAGGAGTGGATGCTGCCATCGGTGTGAAAGCTGCCATCGCCTTCAGCGGGAAAGTTGAAATCGCCCAATGCAAAACTGGCGGCCGCCGAGGGCGGCAGGAAAGCGCGGCGCAGGATGGAGAGCTGACGCTTCAGCCCGGCGAGAGGAAGATAAGGATCGAGATGGGCGTTCGGTAACTGCAGCGATCCGCGCGCGCCGCCGAGGGTGATCGCGTGAATTCTGCCTGGCGCCAGCTCTGTGCATCCGCAATAGCTGCAGAGCAGGCGGAGGCCAGGGCGCAGACAAATACACGCACCTCCAGCGGACCTATTTTGGAAGAAAGCCCAATACCCCAAGAGTCGTTTCTTCGGGCGCGAGCCTCTGGAGGTCCAGATATGAGCCACGGGTCTCTTGGACGCAGACCACTTTGTACTTTTGGAGATCGGATTCTAAGCGTGAAATTCTGTTACTAGTAATCTCCAGGGGCGAGGTGGGGCCTCCGAAGAGCGACCAAGCGTTCCAAGACACCTTACGCAAATGCCCCTTCCAGATAAACGGAGAATGCGTCCAATCCTCAAGAAACGGAGAAAAACAAGACGGCCCAAATGAAGACGGCAGACGGGACCCACCCGAAGACGTCAAACTAGAAGAAGAAAACGAGGACCCAGAAGAAGCCGAAGAAGGGGCCGAGGAAGTAGAAGCAGAGCTCACAAAGCCCACAGAGCCCCTTGTGTAACCATGCGGTATCATCATACCTGTCTGGCTCGGCTGCGACGCCGATGAACTCGGTGGAAATTGCTGATGCGGCTTGGCGGCTGCAATCCTAGTAGCGGCCTGTTACTGCGAGATGCCGAAATGAGCGATGCCGTCGGAGTTGGCGACGATATCGTAGGGTGAGAAGCTCGAAGATGACGTCCGACACTGAACAGAACATGATGCTACGGAAACCGTTGACCCCCAGCTTGTGCGTGCGATCATCCCATCGGTTTGTCTGCCTCAAGTGTGCGCTCGCCTGCTGCCAGATCTGTCCGTGAATTTGATTATTCTGGCGGACGCTGAATGGAGCACCTCTGCGGCAACGAAGCTTAGGCTGGGTGTTGCTGTGGGCATCATTCCACAAGACTGAGTGAGCGCGAGCGTGATCGAGGAATGAGACGGCATCGACATTGTTGGTGGTCGAATAGGACTCTCTAATTTGAGGCCCTTGATCTCGATGCCGTTCTGACGAATGTGAGACGGGAGATTGGCAACTAGTTCACGACCGTGTGCTTCGAGCGAGGTTTTCAGCATCGGACGAGTGAAACCACCAACCCAAATCTCAGCGGATTGTGATCGTCCTCGCCATGCGTAGACACCGCGTATGAGGAGGGTCGCTGTGACAACCGACGGCGCGAAGTGGGCGGGCCTGATGCAACTGAAGGAAAACACGTGCTGCATGGAGACCGAAACCCGATCGCGGCCATGCGGGTTTCGAGCTGCGTGCGCAACGCCGCGTAGGCAGCGTCGCCGCCCGAGGAGTGCATGTTCGTCTCGAGGGTCGTGAGCCTGCTGTTGATGGTGACGAGCGACGCGTCGTGGTTCTCGATGGTCTGCTTCAGCGGGTCGATTGAGCCGATGGAGGACTCGACTGCGGTGAGGCGGGC